AGTTCAGTTTTCGCGGACGTACGTTTTCCGTAGTGCATATCTAAAATAACTGCCAATTATTTCTATTTATTTTTGTGACTAAATTCGTTTTTGCGACAAAAAACTTATAAATTCTTCAGTATAAGTATAAATACAAACACAAAAAGAAGATGGCGTGTTTTCTAATGAAAGTTTATGGCATGTGGTGTTTGAGGATTAAAATGGTCAGTACTAGGCGTTTTTATGATACCTAAAAAAATTAAGGTCTTTTCGCCGTTCGATGCCAACTCTGGCTCCTACACCCCTCAAATACCTGGAATGGACTAGTATGTCTCAACGCACGCATCCTGTCCAAATTTTAATGTAATCGAAACTTTAACTTGGATCAGAATCCGCTGGATCACGCATTGTCATCCGAAGGAGTATTTAACGAAATACTTGCGAATCGCATTCTCACTATTATTGACATAAAGTTACGAGCGCGAAGCGCGCCAACTGGCTCGTTTTTGAGAGAAATCTGTCCTCCAACAAGCCTGGACCTATGCACAGCTCGTCCTACAGGCCTACCGTTAACATGAAGCTGTTTAACCTAATGTTATTCCGTCAAAGTCGGCGAATGAAAAGAGTATCCCTAAAAGATTTTTACTTCCAAATAAAAAAATACGCACGCATTGTTGAAAATTTCAGGATGCTCGTTACACGCCGCTGTGGTAAATCGACCGTCACCGCATTGGAAACGCCTTTTTTTCATTGGGACGAAAGATGCGTGCTAACAGGAATGCAGACTTACCGGTAAAGTTCATGGCACTGTTGACCGCAAAAGCACAGATGACTGAACAAACATCGGTATACAACCTCTCACCGAAGCATACTACCGTGGACAAAGCAACAGTTCTACTAGACGGGCCCGGTTTTGGCACAACCGATGCTGATCCGGTCACCTTATTTACTACTTTCGAATCAGTAATAGGTGAAACTTGCATCACAGAAGAGGCAAATGACCTCCTTCGACATCAGGTTTCCTAACCGCTCACGTCGCATCGGAAAACACGTTCGCTGTTAAAAAAGATGAACAAAAGGCCTAGGAGGGGTGGTGGGGATAAGAGCGGACAGTGAAATAACTATTCTGCCTGCTGACAAATGCCGGTCAACTGTTATCCTTGACAAGGCGAACTACTGAAATGAAGCCCTCGTGCTCCTCAACGATCGAGAACCCTTCAAAGTTGGAGATGCCGCCAGTTTAAACTCACTTCTGGCAAAGGTCATCACAATTCCAGCTCGACTAATGAAGGACAAGTTCATCGCCTTCAAAGACTGGTACATGGCTAGGCCCACATAAACAGCTATGGCGAGATTCTACGGGCTCCCAAAGGTACACAAGCCGATGCTTCCCTACGAACAATTGTCTCACTCCGAGGCAAACCTAGAATTCGGGTTGTAATCTACCTTTTCCAGATGCCAAGAATCCTATCCGCAGACTCACAAACGACAATGAACTCAGCAAAGCAATTTTCTGACGATCGAACCGAATGAGAGGATGGTGTCCTTTGATGTTGTCTCAATTTTCATGTCCATATCAGAGGCGTTTGTGGTCGAACCGCACAGTGACCTGCTACATCAAAATTACGATGAGGGCGGTGGCCAGCCCACGGCTCAGCATCTCGCAGAACTGGCGGATCACTGCCTCAAGACATTCTTCACTTTTGAAGGGGTCACAAATGAGCAAGTTACGGACACTCTGATGGGTTCACCAACCTCCGGCCTCACTGCTGAGGGGGCTCTGCGAAAACTCGAGAGGCGACTGTCGGAGGAGTACAAACCCAGGTTTTTGACGCGCCACGTTGACGGCACTTTTTTAATGGCCGATCGTGATAAAATTAACTACTATGTGGAACAAAGGAATTCAATCATTCCTGACCTACAATTTACGGTAGAAGGCGAAGTGCAGAACAAATTTCTATTCCTGAATGTTCTTGTCTGTCTATGTTTTTTCGCACTATATGCGGATTCCTTTCTTTAAGGGTTGCCCAGATAAAGAGTTACAAGCCGTGAATTTTCGCCTTTAAGCCGATAATGCCAAGAATTCGCCCTTCACCCTCAAGCAGCGTTGCTTAATTGGCCTAATTACTGCATGTGATCTTGGATAATACGAAAGTCTCGAGACGTCGTTTTGTCAAAGGCACTTTTCTCTTACTGAATCCATTTTCTGAATACCAAGAGATGTTATTTGACGAGCAGTAACCTTTTACGAATAGAACACCTCAGAACTGTTCTTTGCTTTCTGTTTTGCATTAAGTTGGGTCTTTCATGCTGTGAAAACCTCCCTCAAGTGAACACTCGAGACCGCCGTCGTCCACTATATGCTCCAAAGCAAGGTGGAACAGGCGCGACGACTTGCGCATGAATTAGTTTATAGTGGTGGTAGACTTGCGCTGCATCTACCGCTCTCTCTCCTCCCCCAGTTGGACACGGCGTCAAGACAGAGGCAGGGAGAACGGAGACGCAACAACGGGCCCGAAAGGCGAGGATTACTGGGCAGCCATTTACACTACATACCTGCGCTAACGTATATACCTCCAGAGATTCAGGTACCGTCGAACTGCCAACGCACCCCAGGCTGCGAGTGCCAAGGTTTGCTAATTAATTGCATAGCAGACGCGCACTATTCTCAAGGCCTAGCAGGGCGACACGCAACCCTTCACTTAGCCGGGTCATCACTTCTCAGAGGCCGCGTAACCAGTCGACTAAGAGGTACTACCACGAAACACATGCACACTCCTTACACGCGTGAGACTGTCAGAGGTCACCTGACGATAGCACCGTAACAGCCTGACACTCAGCACACCAGTCGCCATCCCACAGAAACACACACACACACACAGATAGGCAAACTGTGTGGACTGAGACAGTAGACAGACCCTATGAGGCACGTAATTCCTCCATGGTCATTCCACCGCTTCCCTGCCCTACGTCTAGCCTGCCTACGTCTCCCTGCCTCTAAGTATACCTTTCGTTTGAATAATCTTCCACCTGCAGTTAGCGAGTCCCCTAAACTATCAGTGTCTGAAAAAAGTTAAATAAATATCTTGACTAGGCCTCTTCATCCACAAAAGCTTCAAGAAGGGTAGATTTTGTACATTTTGATCACTTGGAAACGTTTATTTAACTCTTACGACTCCTCATTTTAGATAGTGGTTGTTAAATGCCTTGACATTGTCTTTTGCAACCATAATTTTCGTGGCCCATAACGTAATCTCATCGTTGCGCACCAAAGCCAACGGTTGACGATCGCGGTGGGTTCCTCTATGTCATTTGTGATTACTTCAGTCAGCAAAAAAATAACCTGGTCGCACGTTCAGCGTACAATTAGTTTTTTCTAGGCTTGTTATCCCTCCCTTTCACGAGCCATCCCGAATCTGTGTATAATCACATCAGCAGGGTGGACTAACCTCCCCCCTTTGCGCTTGCTGTCATTGCATGAGCAAAAGCCCATTTCTGTGAAAAAACCTCACAAATGGCGTCTATTTTGTATCTTTTTTGACTAATTGTTCTCAAGATGTTCAGTGTCGGTTTTTAAATAAGGAGTTTTGTATCGCTGTATCATCCTTATCTATTACTGTTCCCTTGTTTGTTTGACGACGTGATAAATCGGCGTCCAACAGAAGTTGCTGGAATAGGTGTAAAGAAGGATTCAAGAGTTTATCCTACAGATACAGACTTGACGCATTTAGCCCATCTGCTTTTGAATGTAGGCAGGTTCGAGAAGACCTCGAACAGACCAATCGAATTGCGAGGAATCGAGAATGTGCTTGCGCTTTGATGATCTCTTTGTATTGATTTCAACAACAAACCTGCACAGAAACCCCCCTCAAACTCCGAGAAGCCCGATCTCACTTGTATGCGCTTAGATACTCGTTTTTGTAGGAGATTTCTGTTTCTAGAACGGGCGTTTCGATGAAGTATCAATGGCAGATTCAGCAGAGATATTTTAAGAAAAACTGGATATACACTTGCTTGACAACAATTTCCCAATTGGAGAAGAAAGCTCTTTTACACCATACCAGCAGTTGGCATATTTAAAATTGCTCTCTATACATGAAGCCTCCGGTCGCGCACCTTTAAAGTGATATTCCGTGGGATGAATATGCTACTACTAACAGTTGTGGTAACAAGGTTATTCGAAGTGGAATATTTTATGTGCCCTTTTGAAGAGGACGTAATAAGGCATTGTTTATTACCTATCATATACTGAACTATACTAAACTGCTGAAGGATAGCATTCGTAATCATGATATGCACAAATGGGCCACTGTGCATAATCATTTGTGCCTGTTGGAACAGTTATTGACAACTATTATCGCGCTCCTCTTTGTATGAAAGATTGGCGTAAAAATGCTTGGATTTTGATGTTCTGAAGCTCCTCGAGACGACATTTATTTCCCTCTAGTTCTATGTGCACGGAGCTTCTCCAAGTTGCGTCTCCATTTTTACTTAAGAGCCTATTTGAATTAGTTTCGTTTATAATATGTTCTTTCTGCACTTTCCTTTTAAATATTCAGACTGCAACTAGTTTTGAGATGCTGGATTTGTGTGCTTCAGTAGCTTGCGCAAAGCTAACAGATGTATTTAACTCCCTGTTGCTTCTAGTATGAGGGTATAAGTACTGTTTATAGACTGTCATTTCTCTTCTTTCAAGACAGGAGACCATAAAACCGACCATCATCCGCGGGTAAATATTCAACCCACCGCAGGCCACTATAGCATTCAGTCTGCGGAATCCCGAAACCGAAAAGCAGTCCTCTAGTGGTGTATCAAAAGAGGGGGTTCTGGGGTGCGAAATTAACGTAAAGACTCGTCTGAATTTGTTCCAGGATAAATCTGTATCAGGGGTTGTTTTAATCCTCCTAGACAGAGAGACACAAATAACCTAAAGGTATACAGAAGTGCAGATGCCCGTCCCGGGTGCGGTGAATAAACTTTGGCACTGGAATTGGCTTTTTGGAAGGCATTTACAGTGAGTGACCGATCTCATGAAATGTTGGCTGAAATACTGAAATGCGTTTTTGATTAGGAAGGACTAGTTAGGCGGGGTTATACTACTAATTTTATTGATGATATAATTCTGTAATATTTGGGAAGTGGCAAGATGTTAGCTTTTGAATGCACCGCTTTTTTATTTCCTGTGGAAAACGTACTCGGTTAAAAAAGAATATTTACGTAGCACGAATTTTTCACATTGATTTTCGATGGTCTTGTAAGTCTAAATATATTTTAAAGAAAACATGCATAAAATATGCTTTCTTTCGCTCGTTTAATAGCGAATTACATCCACTTCATATTTTATACTCGAGAACGGAGTATAATTGGGTTTTATAAAAGGTTTTTTAATTTCCGAATACTTTGAAGCCTGATCAGTCGTTGCGTTAGCGCTTAATGAGTTACATCTTCAAGCCGCATGCGTTCCGCGTACAGAAAATCACATATGTTTCCACGCCCTTAAAAAGATACCATCTGAAGTTTATAAATTCTGCAAAAGATGCAAACTATATTGTGCGTTTCATGAGATGCAGTGGTAAACGGACAGGTACGATGCTGTAGGAATAGAAATTGAACAATCTTGAAAACCTCATGATTAAAAACTCTTTTAATAACTAAGTTTACTCTCTTTTCGAGTAAGAAACACAAAGTGGATATGATTTGCTATCAAACGAGCGAAAGAAAGCATATTTTTATGCATGTTTTCTACAAAATACATTTGGACTTGCAAGACCATCGAAAATGAATGTGAAAAATTTGTGCGAATTAATTATTCTTTTTTACCGAGTACGCTTTTCACAGGGAATTAAGAAGCTACGCATTCAAATGCTAAAATCCTGCCAATTCTGAAATATTATAGAATTTTGCCTCAGGCTAATTATTATTTCAAACCTGCTTAAGTAATCCTTCATAATTAAAAGCACTTTTCAGAATTTCAGCCAACATTTCATAAAATTGGTCACTTACTGCATGATTGCTTGGATGAAGGTAACTGACTATAATTATGTGAACCTATCCTTTTCTTATTCAAAACCGTATACTATCATAAGCACAAATTCAGGGCGCCGTTGTCCAATTCTACTTGTAATAATTAAGCATTTCCACTTCTACGCGTGCAAAGCGGTTCCTTGGTTGCTAATTTTGGATGTTGTCTGAGGGTTGTATTGACCCATATCACAAGTTCCGAGCGTGGATTTTTGTCAAAGGTCGGTACACTAAAATCTAAGCCAGCTCAGATTTCAAGTCAACAAATACAGCCAAGAAATGGTTCACAAGAGACTAACTCGGTTTCAGCAGTTGACACTGGTACAGCCTCATCACTTCTCAGGGTAACAAGCATCGAACACTTGCACAAACTTGTAGCTAACTCCCTATTGTGCGTCTGGGTCATGTGGCCGTTCGCCCATCGCGCCCGACGATGTCCACTGGCCGCTCCACAGCATAATGAAGCATGCACGATGACTTGCCCGTGAATTAGTTTATAGTTCGAGTAGACTTGTGCGGCATCTATCCCACTCTCTCCTCCTCTACCACCTGGGTCCGATGTCCAGACAGAGTCAAGAAATGCGGAGGCAGGAGGAGGTACAGGGGACTGACGCGGCCTGATCCGCGCCTAGACGTACCAAAGCAGCTCCTTGTCCACAATAAACGCATGACCAGAATTTTAACTAACAATAACATAACAACGGTCAGAAAGAAGAATATGACTGAGCAGCCATACACACGACCTTTGCACCCAGCGGGAGCGCAAGCGCACAGGAATCCGAAACGTCAGACGAATAGAGCTCTTATCCCAGCGACTGTGTCTCCTTATTCACAAATACTAGGACTACTGAAATCAGTAATAGTACGAAAGCGATAATTTAATGGCCAAGCAAGACGGCGTTCCCGAAAGTTAGGTTTAGGATTGCGGTTAGGTCTAGGACTAGGAAGGCTAGCGTTATAGTTAAGGCTAAGACTAGGACTGGCGCGTAGGCCTTCCCCGGGAATTTAGCGCGAGGCCATATGTATTAGGAGGGGGTCCGTATTCCTGTGTCTGACCCAGGGATGTACACACATCGAACAATTCCTACCTTCTGATTTCGTAATTTAAAAAGTCAAGTAAAATTACCTCTCTGAAAAGAGACCGCTTGAAGGACCGGAACCCCACAAGGTTAATATATTCGATATAAGCAATAAATACTTTAGCAAGTGACAAAAGTGCTCTTTATCGTCCCATATTTGGCGTTTAGTGATTTGAGCTCGATCAGTATAACAACAAGGCAGGCTATATATAGTCAGGACGGTTAGCATTCTCAGAGGAGAAATAGTCGATATGGCAAAACTCGAAGGTCACCTTCTTATCTACCTGTGTAACAATTCACTGCAGGGCATTTAACTATCTGTGATACTTTTAAGGAAAGTTGTCACGGATATGAAACTGCCGCAACCATGTGTGCCATGACTACAGCAGGCGGGGTGAATCGTCTAACGCAGGTACGCTTGTTTTACGGGACCTAATTAATCAACGGGTCGTAGATGCCTGAGAG